CGGCAGTGGGGATCCAGAGTCTAATTTTCCTGAATACAGTGCACCCAGTGGCAGACCTAAGGTACAAATGGCCCGCTTCCTGATTGGCCCTCCCAAGCTAATTATGAGTAAAGAATAAGGCCATGTTCACAACTACATGTCCCGCGAACGTGCATTTGCATTTGCCGCGCTGCTCCATTGATTTCAATGGTCATATCTGCGTGGCATCTAGAAGCTATGTTGTCCACACACCATTCTGCTTCTGAATGTCCTTTTTATTTGTATTCCTTTAGTAGGACATGTGCATGCTAAAGGAATACAAATAAAAAAGGACATTCTGAAGCAGAATGGTGTGCGGACAACATATCTTCTAGATCCTTGGTTCTGAACTGGTGGGTCGTGACCCAAAAGTGGGTCGCGACCCCATGTTCATTGGGTCGCCGCATGCCTTCCACTTTTCTAGTTTCTAATTTCCTGTTCTCATAACGTCTGGAGACTGGGTGGATCTTAAAAAAAAAGAAAAAATAAATATTTTTGGGGAGGGAGTGAGTATATGTGTGTGTGAGATTGTGGATGTGTGTATCTGTCAGCGTTTTTAAGTGCCCGTTCACACTAGTACAGTGCGTTAATCGAACAGTCCTGTGCCATTTATGCACTGTACCACGTAATTGCACCTACTATGCGTTTTCGTGCGGGTGGTGAGTTGCGTTGCCATTCATCCCCACTTCCCGCCCACAGTTCAATCGCCCACACTGGAACACAGAATACTATGCATTCCGTTGCAGTGCGACATGGGTCGCGACTTAATGACCTTGGAGAAATATGGGTCATGAGGTTACACAGGTTGAGAACCATTGTTCTAGATCGTACATTGTGGCGCCATCCACCAGTTGCTCCAGCATCTGCTGGATTTTGGGGTACAGTGTGCGAAGGGAATATTACAAAGATATCTGCGTGGCAAACACAGCAAAAAGGCTCCTCCACTATTTTGCGCTTTGCGCGAGATGCATTTTTCTGCTGCTTTTGCATGCATGGAAATGCAGCAGAAAAACTCACAACTTGCTGGCCGCATTTGGGGGTGCCTTTAGAAATCTATGGCACAGCAAGTGCATCTTGACAACTTTTCACAGACACATGCCGATCACGCACATCGCCACTCGTCCTCAGAATGCGCAGGTGTTAACCAGGCCTAAGACTAACATTAGACCTTTAAATGAAACTCCAATAGCAACAGTACTTGAACCAGTTACAAATTAATAACAATCCCAGCAAGTGAGGGGATAACTTTGCCAACTCAAAGCTATACTTGCAGTAAGCAGACTTGTAATTCCACACAGCGCACAAGGGAAGGTGCAGATGAAATCAAAATCAACATGTCAGTGTGTAGCTCCAAAGGGCAGGAGTAATGAAGAATGCAGCCTGTCAGCGTGGAACTCAGGATGGAGAGCGGTGAGGTAAGTAGTAATTTTTTTTTTAAAGGATGGAGAACCTTGTGCCTCAGTAGCTGAGGCACAGGACGTACTTCAAATTCCGCGGCTATATGCCGTGGAGCCGGCTACGGGGCGGATCGGAGTGACATTGTGGGACCTGTGCACCTGCTGCTTGTCTGGCCAGCCCGGTCAGAACGGCTGGGCGAGGGGGAACTGGGCACTCCCGCCCCCCGAGAAAATGGTCTCTCCCTCCGCCGCTCTGACTGTAGCGACGTCAGAGCGGCCCCCCTGTAGCAACGCCACTGGATGACTCCCTACTAGCTCCAAATGCTAAAAATCCTAAGTCAAGCTACTGGGATAGTGTGGCATATGTTGGAAATACAGCAGCATTTGCTGATATGTACTGATTGTGTCACTGACAGCAATTTGTATTTTGAACTGTAGATGGCACTGTAGTGCAATTATATAGATTGGAAGCACTCATGGGCCGGGCCCTCCTTACCATCTTGTCTTGAATTGTATTGTGATTGTAATGTCTTCCTTATATTGTAAAGCGCTGCTCAAACTGTTGGCGCTATATAATCCTGTATAATAATAATAATATGCATGCTCTATATCTATGATACACAGGAAGTTTTCCTATCTATATGTTTCCTGCACAAAGCATTCCTCAAGACCTCAGTGCTTCATCGAAACACATAATCAACAGCACATACTTTTTATTGACTGCAGCTGAGTTTTTTCTCAGGAAAGAGATTCTGTACTTACTACAAATTATTTTGTGACATGGCCCTATAAGTGAGGGAGCAGCTCGAGGGGAGCCCCTCAAGCTACATAGCCTGGGCAACTAAAGCATTTCCATGAAAACATTGTCACCACAGAGGGACAGATACTGTATGTTCTGGACTGTGCTTGATGTACTCCCTCCCCTGGGCAGTAAGGGCTTTGCTGCCATGATTACCATTATGTGACCATCTTACTGTGAAAATTAGATACATTGAGGGGTCTATTCACAAAGCTGCCGAGGGCAGCCGAGTGAATGACCGATCAGAAGTGAAGTGAGCCGAACACCGTTCGGCTATTCACTTCAGGCTGGTACGCCTGAAATTTCTGTTCTTGTCATCACCCACACAGCTATTGTATGGCCAAAAGATGCTGTTATTGTGCTGCTGCCAGTAAACTATCCATTTTTTCCTGCAGTATCAGAATCCAGTGCTCCCCAGTCTCCCATACATTTTTGTCAAATGCCCATTGTCTGTCTCTACCAGTAACTCATTAGGGACCCGGACTGTACCTAGAAGCAGCTATCCACTTTGTCTTTACTTTTTCCAGAGAGCTACTCATTGAACCTCTAGACAGCAGCTGCTCCCTTCCTGATGTGACAAGTGACTGCCGCATCACCAAAGAGCTTGTGTACATTTTTGTTTGTTCTTTTCATCTGACATGCATTTGTGAAGTAGTTTGCAATGCTTTGGAATGAAATGTCTGAATTATGATCTTATTGAACAGCATTCATTGCTATGTTTGCCAGGTTTTTTTTTTAGGCAAAAAGCAGCAAGTCCTGTCTGCGTCATCTGAACTACATTTTCCCCTCATGCATGTGAAAAGCACCTGAAATGCAAACTGTTTTTTTTTTCTTCTGACAGCATGTTGCATCTAATTTACTTCTGAGTCTTTGTATACCTTGTCTTCCAGTGATGTCACTGACACTTCTAGGGTAAGAGCTCCTTCATTAACACAGGCTCAATGAAGGATATTGAATAAACCATTGCTCTCTATGTGCCCTGTTCACACCATACAAGTGCATTGATGTGCTTTGAGCAAGAATGCAGACCCGCTGCATTCTTATGCAACACAACGCACAAAAATGTATCAACGCACCTATTACAATATTCTAAAAAATTATGTTAGTATTCTTACCACTGATGTCGGGTACCTGCTCGCGGGAGATGCCGCGTCCCTCTGCGGGGACACGGACAGAGAGGGCGTCCACCAGCACGTCCCGGCCGCGCAGGCACAGACGGCCCGGCGGGTCACGCCCCGCGCGGCATGACGTCATCGCGTCAATAAGGCGCAGTGAAGTAATCACGCCGGCGCATGCGCAGTAGCACATCATCAGCCTATATAAAGCACCGCAGGATGCCCATTCAGTTCTGGGGGATCTTCAGCCAGCACTGGATTTTCCTGCTGTGCTCCTGTGCCTAGTCACTGGCCATTAACCTGACTTGCTCCTATTGTTACCTGTCATTTACCCAGCTCCATTACCCTGCCTTGCTCCTGTTTTATTGCTTACCTGTTTTGACCCGGCTTGTCCCTGGACCTCTCTCTCGTTTAACCCCTGGTACTCTGCTGCTCGCTCGTTACTGACCCGGTTTGTCTCTGGATATCTCTCTGGTTAACCCCATGTACTTTGCTGCCCGCCTGTTATTGACCCGGCTTGTCTCTTACGCTCCCTTCGCTTGACCCTTTAGGCACGACGGCTATTCTTCCAGGTCACCAAGTCATCCTCGTGACCTCAAGATTTGCCAACCGGCACCCGTGCACCCGTTGCCTGAACTTACTGTTCTCAACCCCAGTGGTCATCAGACGGGGTTGCAAGGGAGGTCCTCCTCGTCACTTGGGGCCCACACCACAATCCTAACAACTGATGTGGCCTGTACATAGAAAACACAATTAAAAACTCAGTGTTATGTGCAGTAAATCACAGTGCAACACAACAAATTAAGAAAGCATGTCATCACACTTTATTGCATGCCAATCTGTGCATTTTTATGTGCATTGTCCTGTGAACATGGGCTAAGTGCTAAATAGAAACGTGTCTGGAGGATCTGCTTCCAAATAGAGGGTCCTGAGGTCTGTTTTACATGGGATTTCCGATATAATAGAAAAACAGGCGGACCTGATCGGAAGCCCGATTTTAATCTATGGGCAACCTGATATAAATGGAAGGGCGTTCCTTTACATCTTGTTACCCCTGGCTCTAGCCAGGTTCAGAAAACAAACGGATCTGAGTTCCGTTTTGACTGACCTAAACCTGCTGGATTAGAGGTAATCTGATGTCAATGGAAATATGTCCAGTAAGATCCCTTTCCCCATAGACCTAACATGTGTCCGGTAATTTAAGTTTTTTCCTCCATTGTGATGGAGGAAAAAACTTGATGGACACAGATGTCACAATGGTGACATCAATTCTGAACAGCAGCTCATCCGTGCGTGGATCACCTTCTGATCGGACCGTGTGAAAGAGGCCTTAGGTACTAGCTAAGAGACACTGTATTAGAAGGTTCCTTAAAGAACAGCTAAACACAAAGGCAAAACAAATGGGTAAGAAAAATCTTAGATAACAATTACAATTCAAGCTTTCGGCACACCCGCTCCCATTTCTTACCCTGACCTTTTTCCCATCAATTTTTCCCTCACAAACCTAATATGCAGAGGCCATTCCCCCCTTACATTTGCTAGATTGTGGTTCTGGGCTCCTTCAAGTTCCGGGCCTGACACTGTTCTGAGATACAGCCAGGATATGCTACTGATTACCTTCTCAGGTAGAGGCAGCCAATCAGTATATATACAGTATATATACATATACTGCTGCTGCACCTAAAGTAACCCTAGGGTCGGAGCCAAGTGAGTCCAGACTCATTCCTAAGTGTATTCCTAAGGTCTAAGTGTAAGGAGAGTGATTTCTGCATATTAGGTTTCTGACAAAAGGTTAGAAGAAAGTTGCCATGATGGAAACATCTAGATGTCTCTAATAACCTCCTTGCTAGTTGCCTCTTCCATTGACTTTGAAGTCTAACCCTGGACAATTATGTTTTAGACCAAAATGGGCTCCAGCCAGTAAGTAAAAAAAAAAATTAGATGTGCAATACATAGCTTCAGTCTGGTGCTGAAACCCACATTTCTTTTTTTGCACATGACTTCAGACTGAAGACAAATTATGAATCCAGGGCATCATGGCCCTGTCCCCTGAGAGGGCATCACTGTGGCATGATTAATTCATAGGGTAGAGAGCGGGGTTGACTTAATCACAAAGACTGCCTAACGCTGGAGAAGAGGTGAAGAGAAAGAAGACCTAGCATGACATGTGCCAGGCCTGGAAACAGGACAAACCCACAAATGTAACTGCTCAAGTTAGAAAATGTTTACTAAATGTTATTACATTCTTAGTAAAACCCACCAATGCAGTGTTTTCATCTGCTTACTAGCATATGCTCGGTGTATACTGCATTCAAGGCATGCCTCTGGTGATAACTGTCAAAGTTGGCAGTGTGCTATGTCAGCTCTCAATTAAACTTTCAAGCCCTCAAATGGCTGATGTCATAGCTGCTCTCATGTGTCGTATCATGGCTTTTGCCGATCTAAATAGAGGCTAAGATGGTACCATCTTTGGCTGTAGAAATTATAGAGTTATAGAGTAAAGTATAGAGTAATTATAGAGTAAATTATAGAGAGTTCAGTTCTAATCTGAAAATAAAAAAGAATAAACAAATCATACATGTGGAGAGCCCTTTTGGAGGAAGGTGAGAGGGGAATTGAGGAGTGGGGGTCTAAGTCTGGAGTCAGGCTTCAAAGCTTTCCAAGTGACTGACCAGGAACAATTATACAGATCAACACTTCACCTGCTGCATGCTTATTCCGGGTCAGCGACTTAGCTTTTATTCTCTTTCATTCTATTGAACGCGCACACTCTGTGTCCAAATGTTCTTATTGTCATCTGGGCTCTCTGTGGCAGACAATTAAGATAAATGGATTGATCCACAGTGCACTGTAGATGGGGCAATTAGTTATATTATCATTTGTCTATTTATTTGAACATCCATGTGACAAATTTAGCAAACTAGTGGACTGAAAATCCTGACTGCCAACATGAACATATTTAATGAATTGCAGTTCAGTTGCAAAGTATCTGATCCTTTATAGATACATTTGGTTATCTTAGCCCCTAAACAATGTTCCCTCTAATCTTATTGATCCAGATATGGCCATGTTCAATTCTGGAAAAGAACCAACAGAGTGTGGTAATCAGCTGGGTAGTATAAAAGGGACACAGTGTCAGGGTTATTAAAGAGGACCTGCACTATGGAACTTGTGTCCAAAAAAGTGGAGTGCAAATGATCAAACACCGATAATGGCAGTACTTATTTACTATACCTTGTTCTGCACTGGGCTTTTGTGTGGGGGGATGGCAATGCCATGTCAAACTGCCCCCTGATGACTGATAAATGAAGAAGTAGCAAGAGAGGTGAAGTAAGCACAGATTAACAGAATGTATGAAGCAAAAGTCTTATCAAATCTTATCTCGTAATTCTCTTGTTTGCCTTTTTGAAAACGCCAATATAAAGCAAAAGTTATGGTGGGGGGGAACTATTCTGGGTTTAACCAATCATTTTTGGCATATACATTTCTAATTGTACATGTAACTGGGGGGCATTCCAGGGGTGTGTCCATTGTCTAAATACATTGTGCTGGAAAACATCCCTCTTTCTCATCCCGGAAAGTTGGAAGGTATGTTAGTGACAAAACTAAAATCCACTCTAAATCTCCAAGACTAGCGGTTAGTGACCGCAATATCTGATCTCACACTGCAGATATACAACTATTAGTGCAGAACAAGAGTGCTGTGGAACAGTCACATGCCAAGACATATACTGCTATTTTCAAAAGGAATTTAAGGCAAAAGGTAGATTTTTCAGACTACTGCTTAGGCAAAATTGTATCCCTTATGAATTAACTTATATTCCTTATAAGATACTGAATTTACACTTGTTTAGTGCTGATCCCCTTTGTAGAAGTAAACTCTGCTTTATTTAGCCCTGCTACCATTTACATCTTCTCTGTTCGGCATCTTAGGCCATCTTCATTGGCATAACCCCTGCACATGCACACAAGCCTTAATTCCTCCAGGCATCAAGGACATTAAAAATGAAGAGATGTTCTTTTATTTCTCACTGTTTGTCTTGAAATGTGAACAATCACTTTGGAATGAGGTTATGATGCTCTCTTTCAGGAGGTACCTAAATTGTTTATCAATGAATCACTTCACTTTGGGGTTTAAGGGCCAGGTTTTTATAGCTGTTTGTGTCACCGAGGGGCAGACTGCCTTTGCTTTTTGATACACAGACAGTGGTCATCCAAGCAGTAGATCTCTCCGATGGGGACATATAGATAAACTAAACCACTTTTTTAAAAGTGCCAGAAGGCATCAAAACTGTCATAAAAGCATCATAACCTCTGACAAGTTTTTAAAACTACCTTACTTACTTACCTCACTGTCCTAGAGACAATAGTCAATAAGATAGCATATCACTCCAATTGGGACATGTACATCAATAAAACCACTTTTTAAACAGAGTTGGAATGGCTAGAACTTCTGCCAGGGTTTATAGCTATGTAGAAGAGATTGCTCAGCAGTACAATAGAACATTTTCATGTGTAAAATGAAAACCAACATTTAAGATTTTCAGGTTTTTTTTCAACAGGACTATTCCACCAAATTAATGCCAATTGTTACACTAGAAGCTTTGTGTATGTTCACAAATATTCACCTATATGCCTATTGCTGTATGACAATAAATGTAAATTTTCCATGTTGTATTGTGTGTTTTATATTGAAAAATTGTTATTAAAAATGTTTGCAAAAAATTACAGTGGTTCCGAGACTATATTTAAAAATCTCAGTTTACCTTATACAATAATAGAATAAGCTGATTTAGGGCTCAATATTAGTGACATTCAGGCTCATAACAGATACACCCCTGGATTGCAATAGCCTCTAAGAATGCTGGACACATTTGTACATCTTGCAGCAATGCCCTTTTTTTACAATCATGGTACACAATCAGGTGTGTAGTGCATAAAAGAACATATATTGCCCAGGAAATTCGGTAACTTATTTGTTGGTAAATTCCACCAAGTGCAAACAAAAGGCATGCACTACTAATAGGAAAATTCCTTGACTTCTGCAGTCTAAAACGGGAAGCATCATGGCTCAATTAGCTTCTCATTCAGGGAGATCAGATGAGGTTGAGACTGTATTACCATACTGCATGATGTTTC